GTCCTCCAACAACACGTTGGTGGGCAATGGCAATCTCTTGGGTTCTCATCCAAGCGCCTGCAGCCAGCAGAATCCCGCTACAGCATGTTTGGCGGAAAACTGCTCGCCATTTACCTAGCCACTCGTCACTTCTGGCACACACTCGAAGGCCGCACTATCATGGTTTACACAGACCACATGCCCCCCATTTTCGCCTTCAGCATTGCTTGCGACAAATATTCACCAAGGGAAACAAAACACCTAGGCTTTGTCACGCAGTTCACTGCTGACATACGTCATGTCTCAGGTGTCGACAATCCCGTCGCCGACGTTCTCTCATGCGTCAACCTCATTCTCCAGTCTTTGCCTACCGTCGACCTTGCCGTCATGGCATCGGCTTAGGCTCAAGATGAAGACATACAACGCACTCTACAGTCCACTTCGCTGCATGTGCAAAATGTTCCTCTCCCAACTACGGAAGGAACCATTCTCTGTGACACTTTCACAGGTTGTCCTAGACCTCTTGTGCCCGTCTCCTTCAGATGCATTCTTTGACGCACTGCACTCACTATCACATCCCGGTATCCGAGCATCTTTGAAACTGGTCACCGAACGTCTCGTTTAACCAGGCGTAAACAAAGATGTTCGTACCTGGGCTCGCGCTTGCTTATAATGCCAGCGCTCCAAAATACATCGTCTCCCCCGCAGTCTTCTTGATTCATTTCCTACCCCGGACTCTCGGTTCTCGCACGTACAATTAGAACTGGTCGGTCCCTTGCCTCCGTCACGCGGATTCCTATACATTCTTACATGTGTCGACTGCTTCACCAGACGCCCAGAAACAATTCCCGTAACAGACTGCACAGCTGAGACTGTCATACGGACCTTCTTAGATCGGTAGGTCTCGCATTACGGATGCCCATCCACCATTACAACTGACCGAGGAACGCCTTTCGAATCTTCCCAATTCGATACGTTCTGCAACTTTTAAGGTTGTCGCCGCATTCATACCACAGCGTATCACCCAGCCGCCAACGGGTTAGTTAAACGCTTTCATAGACAGCTTAAAACCTCACTCTGCGCCTCCTCCGACCCTAGCTGGCGCGAAAACGTTTCGCTCGTACACTTTGGCATTCGCAGCAGCATCAAAGCTGACTTGCAATGTGCACCAGCAGAGCTGGCTTACGACACAACGCTAAAGTTTCCAGGAGAATTCACTTCACTTCCTCCATCGTCAGGTATGCCTCCGCCTAACTTTGCGTCCTCCCTAGCTCAACGCATGCGTTCACTAAGCCCGACTCCGCCCCGTGACCAGACTAGAGATGTGCAAACGCACAGCGGACTCTCTACCTGCACTCATGTCTTCCTCGGTACCGACGCAGTGCGGCGCATTTTCCAGCCTTCCCACACTGGCCCATTCAGAGTCCCGCAACGCACTACGAAACATTACAATTAACACCAGAATACTCACCGAACAACGCTGTCAATCGATCGGTTCAAAGTGGCTTTCTTCGAAGAAACATTTGCTCAAACTCCCTTGGAGTTACTAATTCCTCCTCAACCTGTACCCAACGCTTACTTCGCTTGCATGTGACCTCACGCTTTCAACTTGTTGATTTCTCTTTTTGTCACGTCATAATTTTATATGCTGTCCGTTTACAAATGAATAGAGGGCACGATATTCGTCTTCGTATTGTGCTATGCAAGCCAATACAGGGAAGTCAATGCTTCAAATTTCTAAGACGAAGGCTCCCGACTGAAACGATCAGAGTCCTTGATGGATTGGTAATCTTAAATTGCGAGATTGCCACGGAGAAAATGCGCATTCGTCTCCTCTGTGAGTGCAGATGAAACGCTAGGTAACCCCTACAGTTTTGTAAATTTTTGCGGAGGAATAAGAGCAGATTCATGAATGTCGTACGTCCTCTGTTGATCATTTGCCTTTGGTCTGTCGAATCAAATTTTGTAAAACTGTCATTGATAGAACGAAAAGAAAACTGGCTAAGGAGCAACGTATACCTCTCGAAAACGATGAAGATGAAATACCTTTCCATGGCGATTTACGAAAAGTTGTGTATAATCTTTCTTCGACCTCATTGGAATAGAAAACAACTCGAAGCTCTATCATTGGGTGTACAGTTCAAAATCGCACCAAGGAAAGTAAATGACATTCAGGTTACCGCACAGTTTGAAAGCTTACTTGATCAACTCTTAAAGCTAAAACCGACATCCCAAGAGAACTATAACTGGCTCAAAGTTAAGCGAGTTGACATCACAAGAGGTTACTTGTTGACTCCGATTCGTCAGTCCTGCTGCCTGGATAGTAATCACATTAAAACGTCACGTGGTTTGAGAACCAAAGGCTTAATGGTGTTGAAACCGGACAGAGGTACTGGCGTGGTCATCATGGATAAGTCGGATTATATAAACAAGATGGAATAGATTCTGAAGGACAAGTCAAAATTTCATGTGGACGAAAGTGCAACCAACATAAAACAAATGGAGAAGAGGGTAACCAAAAACCTGAAAATATTACCGTTTTATGGAATGATAACACAGGTGACATACAACGCTTTTAAGCATTTGGGCACTGATATCGCCCGATGTATGGCCTACCCAAGATTCGTAAAGATAATGTCTGCTCAGACCAATATTATCCATGCATAACTCACCGTACCACAAGCTAGCACGTTGGCTAGTTGAACTACTGACGCCAGTTAGAAAGATGATTGTAAAGCACACCTTGAAAGATACCTTTGAGTTAATTGAACAGTTACGCGAAATCAACATTTCGGACAAGGTGATGTGTTCCATGGATGTACAGTTCTTGTTTACCAACATTCCTCTGAGAGAAACAGTGGATTTCTTATGTGACTTTGTCACTAGTGAGAAAGTGCCTCTGCCCATTCTCGGATTTGTTGCTACTTTGTACGGAAAACGTATCGTTTATGTTCAAGGGACAGGCATATCGACAGGCTGATGGCGTGGCTATGGTGAGTCCCCTTGGCCCTCTGTTGGCGGACATCTTCATGGCGATGGTCGAGTCGCGCTGTGAGCCAGACCTCGGACGAAAGTGCCTTTACAAGTGGTATGTGGACTACACATTCGTGATCGCACAAGTCGCTTCTCAGTTATGAACGCTGCTCACCCAAATGCCTGCTTCACCTGTGAAGTTGAGGATGATAACCGCCTGCCTTTTCTGGATGTACAACGACGAGACGAGAAGATGGCACGATGCAGCGCACCGTTTACCGGAAAGCTACATGGACCGGTTTGTATAGAGACTTCAGCAGTTTTACACCGGTACAATACAAGCCATGCCTTGTCAAGATATTGTTCATTTGGGCCCGCAGGATGTGCAGTACGGAATGCATTGAGGCTGAATTGCAATTCATCGCTCAGATCTTACGGTCAAATGGCTACCCAGAATCCTTTATTAGGTTTCCTAGCGGCCTCGCGGAAAGTGAACAGCCGGTTGTTCTTACCGTACCAAAAATGCCTGTTTATCTGCGACTACTCTTCAAAGGAGTTGTCCTGGATCGGACATATCAGCCGCATGGATTTGACACGGATCCCCAGGCGGCTCTTATATAGCCAAGTTAGTGCAGGTAGGCTGCACGGAGGAGAAGCGAAGCTGAGTTATCAGGACATGATCAGGGAAAGTTATCACGAACTGATGTTGATTTCAGGTGTTGGGAATCGAAGGCAGTTGATCTGCGAGAATGGCGTGAATGGATCAAGAGGGGTTGCCCAGATACAACAGGAAGCACTATTACATGCGGAGGAGAAATGCCGGGTACGGAAGTGACAAGCACCGGTGGAGTCTACCCAATCAACGTAAAGCGCAGGGTGCTGTAGCACATTCGGTAGCAAACGCCTGAGCCAAGCGGATCTGGTAAGTCACTAGCGTTGTCACGCGGGGAAAACATCCAGAAGACGACGAGTCATCTGTTTATCTAATCAACATTAGCGCAATATTCGTAAGTATGCTGTGTCCGCTTCCATTCAATTTGCTAACCCAGGCCAATAAGGCTATAGATGTGGTACGTGACATAATCGTTCAGTTGGTCTGTATGTGGGCCTGAGTGTTAAGTTCCTAGCATTTCAGGTGTTAGCTGTTGCTTGATATCCCCGGCGTAGCTGGGCTTGATGTGAATGCTGACAAAGTGCTTAGCTGTTTAACACAACCAGCTCGTCTATACTGGTTCCAGGCGACAGTCGGTCGTTGCTAGAGGGGACGGGTTGCCCGTTCCTCGTGACGGTACTAGTTTCAAAGAGTAGTTTCATTCAGTGTGGAACGGGCAATGGCCCAACCGCCGCCTTGCACACATCTGGCACGCATGATTCCCCAATTGGATTGATTAGAGTGATGTTGCGATGCATGTGGAATGAGTGTGTGCCTACTCTGTTGATGAAACGTGGTTCTCATCCACATGCATCCCGGTCTTATTCCTTCGGGTTCACACTGGATATGAGGTACGTGGACGGAGCTGTGAGTGGTGCAGAACAAGCTACTCATGGTCCGTGAGTAAGCGCAGACGTGCTGTGGCTGTCCTATGGAGGTCGCAGTGACAAGCGAATCCGGAGCTTGATGCCGCCACCCATGTCTGTTATGTTGTATAAGTCTACTAAAAGCCACTGAAAACATGTTTGTTCGGTTGGATGATTTTTCAAATAACGATAACAACAAATCGTTTGGGAAGGAGCAAGGGAAGAACTGCCAGAGAGAGGAGTTAGAGATCAAACGAACGGACGCATAGACGCCATCGATATCGTGATGTGCCCCATAAGGTATCTAATTAGTGATGTGGTCGGTCCCGAGGACCCCATTGAGGCAAGTGACACACTGATCTCACGACGGAGAAGGGAAAATGGACGGAAAGTAAACAATAATAAGTAGAGGAAAGAAAGAGAAGTTGCGGGACTAGCACTGGTCACGGATCATGCTCGCCAGATAGTGTCCGAAACCATGAGCTACCCTTAGAATACTAAAGTTAGACATAGTACACTATATTACGTACTTTGCATCACCTTTGTTTCAGTGGTGGTAGTATTGGCACACGTATCCGATGACCTTGGTTAAAACGAATGTCTGAGAAGTGACATGGACGAGGTCGCGAGGATGAAATGTAGGAAATCTGGTTATAGTCTATCAAAGCAACTGCGCAGAACCCAGAATATTGGACGGCAATTATGGCAAGCTGGGGTCACCATAAATAGTCTGTGGAACGCAAAGCTATGCCCATGTCTGAAACTTGGTTAAGCAGATTGACTAACGGAGAAAAACAACAGGAAGTGACAAATTCAAGAGCGGAAGAAAGTGAAGTAAACTATGGTATAATGCGGCCCAGAAAAGGAGAAGGTCGGGTGAACCCCAAGGTTTATAACACAAAGTGAAATATTTTACAATGAGAGGGTCGCAGCAGTGGCGGGCAATTTAAAAGAAAAAAGTGGACAATAAGTACCCTCACCTCCTCTCAAAAAGTTCTCTAACATACGGATGACCACAGCGGGCACAAGTCACAAGTGCAGTCCAAAAAATCAGGTCAAGACCATTTACTGCCATGTGAATCACCGGAAAACAGGCTGCAGGGATTTGGTGCATCATAGAGACATTGGAGTTGTAATTCCTTTAGACACTCCGCCAGTTGGTGACGTTGTTCCAAAGACCATGTGGGATACCAACTTTGAAACAGACGCAATTGACATTCGAACACACTTGGGCACCTACTGTCCGGAAGCAGTTGAAGCTCGTTTCGCATTAGGTCGGACAAGTAAACGTCAAGCGCAGAACTGCCGCGTGATTCGTTCTCACTAATAAATGCGGAATGAGATGATACGGGTAGATAACAATTAGTCTGTTCTATAGTCATTAGACTTTCGATGAAAATCTCTCTCTCCAATTCATTCCAGAGAGAGAACCAGTGACAGACCAGTGGGACAGCTTTGGTAGGAGATAGTTGAAGGGTCATAAACACAGGAAAAGAGAAGAGCAAGATGACCTTTAAGCAAACAGGGAGTACGCTGCGTTTGAGCCGGGAGATACATATAAGCGGCGGGGCTTAGGGTTGTTGAGCTGAAAGTGAAAAAAAACACAAGTGGAATACGTGGCGATAAATTAACAAGATTATGACGTTAACGGTTAAGTGCAAGAGACAACTTTCCAACCACTGATGTGGTCGATCCCAAACCCCCTAGCCAGGAAAAAGAAATCTGTCAACTTGTCTACGCACCGCAGTGAATTTCTTGTTTTTCTGTCATACCATAGGCGACAGGGAGTAATGCCAGTCGAACTGAACGGTTAACGGACATAGGAAATGCACGATCGAACAAACGAAAGTGATTCAAGCTGAACAAACGTTCACTTGCGGTACCAAAGGACCCATTTCTGCAAATCAACCGGAAAGTTTTAATAACGTCTACTTGGTTCTCCCACTGGTGATGGAGAACGAACAATTGATTGATGTCTTTAATATAGTGCCCACATTTCTGAGCCTCACGGTAGCATCGATCGTACCGCAGGGTTTTACGATCCACCTTTGGTTTGCAAGTCCATATATTGTAGTTTTCTTTCGGACGGTTCAGCTCAGTTGAACAACTATTATCTGGGCACCGATGTGTGGTGGATCCAGTTCCCACGACTCACGTTGCTAGAATGGTAATAAAAGCGAATGAATGAGGTTTGACGCAAATAGAAAGGAAGATGGAATCGGGACATGAGTGTGTTAGGCTACTTAGGTGCGAGAAACCTAATGCAGATACACCACTGACCGTACCATGTCTGATAGTCACCAACTACTGATGTGGACCATACTTAGGCTCCCATACACGAAGACGGCAAGCACCAGCCAAACTAAGTCTCTTTGTCAGTTTCCTGATGCCTTCATGCCACGTTATCGACTGGCGACTTCGCGGTTTCGCCCAACAACGGCGTACAGTGCACCTTGAGGAAGCTGACCAACGAGCCTACGAAGGACGTGACCTAGCCAACGTAAACGGTTCAAGTCCAACAGACAATACTGCTAGGCACCAGAAAGTTGGTTGCCAAAAACCAACTTGTGGACCTCAGCAATGCTCACTCGTTGTTCCCACCAGATGTGATAAAATACTCCGCAAGCATCGGTAATAAAACACGGCCAATCGTTTCATGTCTCCGCCGCGAATTGGCCAGGTCTCTGATCCAAACAGTAACATCGGCCTTACCGCAGTGTTATACACCCTACCCTTCATTGACAAACTGATATCCCGCCATCTCCATAGATGACGGGGTTTCTAGAATGCCACACAGGCCTTGCTGATAAGCGTAGCTTCCTCAGTGATGTGACCACCAGAGGTGACACAGCTACCAAAGTAAGCGGACCGATCCACCACTTCCAGTGGTTGTTCGGTGATAGCTAGAACCGGCGTGTCGATCCAGTCCTGAAACCGTACTATGCAATTTGTAGGTGCAGGGTACATGCTGAAGCGTGTAGCGCTACGCGTCAGTCAATGCAGTTGTGTTTGAATGGCCACTGCGTTAGACCCAAGAACTATCGTCCGCATACTCCATGTTTGTCAGTCGGTCGCCCGGCAGAACTTCCACTCCATAACTCAGTCATTCATGATCAGTTCGACAACAAAGTAGAAGAGGAAAGGAATTATGGGACAACCCCGGCGAATTCCACTTGTTGTGGAGAACTCGGTAGCTAACTTTCCGTAGACCATTACCTGGCCTCGACAGTCACAGCAGAAAGACATCGGGATAGACAGGAGTTTAGCTGGCACAGACTTCCCGGATAGACAGTGTCACAAGCTGGCAAGATCAACAAAGTCGAAAGCAGCTTTCAGGTTAAGGAAAACCCCTATAGTTTGTTGTCTGTAAGTGTATCACCGTCCTAACACGATGTGGTGGAACTATGTGGTTGATGCAAACACGACCAGGGTGAAAGGCTACCTAGCTTTCAGTGATTCGCTTCTCACGAGGACCAGTAAGTCGTCAAAGAATGATACATGTGAGAAGTTTGGAGGTTTTCGTACAAAGTCTGCCGATTACTTTAGCAGATGAGCACGGCAGTCGCCAGTCCCAAGGCACCTCTACATTGTTCAAATTCGTGTCAAATAGTGCAATAAATCAAGTCAACAAAGAGTCTGCTTCATCTTTCAGTAAATATATTTTGTTTCAACAAGGTAACCTCATGTCGAATCTCTTCCAAAATGGGAGGTGTGATATCAATTTCCTACGTAGGTCCAGATGATTCAGCAAGCGGCAGTGTCGCAGCAGGCTTGCTGAATTACTCTTCAAAATGTTCCACCCAATGGGTTAGTCGACGCGGCTGAGAATGGATCAACCGTCCATCTTTCTCAGCTATTGTCTTACATCTGAGGGGTTCTTGGACCCATGTTCCGGATCAGCTGGAATGGCACTCGACTATTTCCAATAGTACTGGATTTCTCCATCTCACAGGCCTTTGCTACCAACTTGCGTTCTCGGCCAATTCAAAAACTCCTTTGAAAACATCATCCCAGGGCGTTACGGAGAAGCTGAAACTCAACGCCCATCGGAACCTGTTTCTGTGTTTCCATTAAACTGATCAATGCATTCACCACTTGAAAGTCTCAAGCTAAGCACGCAGTAGGCGTCGAAAGCACGCTTCATGGCACAATTGAGAGTATTGTAGTCAGCGTTCACCTCAGCAACCTTATGATACTGTTGAACTGTGGACTGTGAGTTTATGTTACAAGTGAGAGGCTCAAAAATTAGGCGCCTCTTTGAAGCGCGAAAAGCGAGCGCTGGGCGTGCGCTTATTAGAGCATGATCGAAATCCAGACAAGTGCTTCAAATTGACTGACAGTATTGGAATGATGTGTGCCATCTACGGCTGATCGTAATAGAATCAATTTGGGTCCAGGTCATCGAGGAATCCGGTAGGCAACAAATGACTTGATCTGAACGATTTTTAGTTCTTCTGGAAAGCAGTACTTCTAACTTAAAGACTGTGATCAACACATGCTTGTAGGAATCGATCGGCATTGTGTGTCTGGCGCGCATCAGTCCCGAAGCGACTTCAGACGACTGGAATTCTCGAAAATTACGCGGGCCTTGCTAATACATGCGGTAATTACCACGATTCTCTGGTTACTTGAGGTACTATAAATACTCAGGCAACCAAACTGAATGACTGTTCAGTGATAGTTTGTATCAGTGATGTCTCGACTTAGCCCAGAAACAGTAGCCGGCGTCCTGGAAGTGTAGTGGACTGCCAAAGCGTGCGGCGCCATGCGACAGCCTTTACAGGCACTATGCAGAAACTGTATCTAATCCCGGAGCAGCCGTGTCAACCGCGCAATCCAAAGCTGTCAGCCAAATCCCCAACATGCTATGGCCATTCAAGACCACTTCAATCGCAAAGCAAACAATGGACAGGCATGGGTAGCATATCTGTTCTTATTTGTTAACTTAATGGACCAGCATGATCATCGCTACCCAGCAAACCTCATCGTTGCGAACACATCGATGCCAGCCCATGCAAGTGATGTCCGGTAGGTAAATATGATCAGAGACCGGAAGATACGCGAAATTTTCGGAACGAAGTGGAAGCTTTGTTGTTGCAGGAAACAGCATCACACTGGTCCTGTGCACACTGCCTTTAAGGTAAATTGAAACCCACTACTGTTTACAGAAGTCGCACATATTTATGAAAACAGTTCTGGTATTCGTCGTACGAAAGGGCAGCGTTCGGCAACACAAGTAAGCAACTGCATGTGCGCTGGGGAGTGCCCAAGTTCATGCAGCGATGCGACTCGAACCCGAGGCACAGCAGTTGTAAATCAGACTCCTGAATTGTTGCAAAATGGATCCTTTATCAGACACACGCAGCTATCCGACAGCTCCAGTGTATCGTCATCCGATGCCGAAGAGCAAGGAGGACATTAGTGCTCATGCAGCAGCACTTTGCTTCTTGGAGGGGCGTAGCGCATAAGAGAAGTGGGATTCATCCGGTAACTTTATCTGGGGTTAATGGTGCAGGTCGTGTTTGCCTAACGGTAAGGCGATATCGTCTGAGTAGCTAGATCGACCAGTTCGTCCCTAGTAGAATCGAAACAGTTACATCGTGTTGCACTGTAATCTAACGTCTCGTAATGGAGTTGATGATGAGATCGAACGTCACTAGCTGTAAGAAATGGGTAGGGAAATCCACGAAGATTGTGACGCGATTTCAGCTATCGGGACAACAGTCTGGAGAACGGTGGTGCACCGCCGCTTCGTTGTCATACGACAACCACCATTAGCGTGCGAGCTAGGGATACTGCGAAATTCGGACCGGTGACCTTTTGGTCAATTAGCACACGCCTCATCCTTTGGATTACCGGTAGATGTCGGGAGCAGGCAAAATGGCAACATCTTCCACTCTGGCTCATGCAGCTCATCTGCGGATGTCCAGGTTCACTCCTGAGATCGATCGCTCCCATAACAATGAAAGCTGTCCTCGTCTTCCTCAGTAGGAAGGAGTCAGTGCACGATTTCTCTCAAAGTTCGTGTGTTCGCTATCAGAGATAAATCAAGGGAAAACAGTGTAATTTGAGGTGATTCGTCCACGTCGATCCAGATCCAAGCGCTCAAACTGAATTCTGCTTGTTCATTCAATAGGAACTGGGAAAGTGGATAAAGTACCAAGCCCAATGTATTGCGTAAAATTCAATACATGGTCCAGAAATAAACTGAGCACTTCCGTAAACACAGTGGCTTTCAGAAACGCGAAAAAGTCATAAAAAACGGAATCGGTTGCTGAAAATGACAAGCCAAATGATACATGAGGAATACCGGATTAGTGGGCGTATGCGTCAATAAGACCTTAGTCATCGACCATTTGGAGTATGCGCCATGTTTGAATTGCGACAGGTTTACTTTGAAGTAAACCTGAAGCATGGCGATCACTAGGACCGTATCCGAAGTGGAGAATCTCAGTGTTGCTAGCTTCCAACACCGCACTACACCACCGACCGGTTTCGTCCTGAATTGCACTCTTCAGGTAGAGGGATAGCCGCAGCTGGGACTAGATTCTTGGGCGCAATGATTGACGACCAACGCCCTGATTTATAAACCACTTGACTCCGAGATAGAGGGTTGACACAAACCCAAAAATGAACTACCAACCACTATGCAAAGCACAACTAATGAAGATCAATGGCCTAATGATCAAGGCGTCCGTCGTCAAGCACTTCGTTCAAAGTTCGACTCTCAGCCATAATAATCCCTGCATTATGAGGCTAAACATGGACAAATTGGTCATGGATGGCAGAGTTGAGAGGTGGCAATATCGAAAACAAAAGAGTAGTTTAGCTTCGAAGTGGAGCAGTATATATATATATATATATATATATATATATATATATATGGTTGGAGGCATAAATTTCCGAAATTGCCTGTCACTGTGGCCAGCCACAGGACGCCTGCGCTTACAGAGGGGCCATGGGTGGCTTGCGCTGCACCACCCACAGCTCCATCCGCACACCCCATATCCAGTGTAAATCCGAAGGAATAAGACCGGGAGGCATGTGGATGAGAGCCACGTTTCATCAACGAAACAGGCCAACATTCCTTCACAGGCAAATATAAGCACGCTGTAGGTGGGGAATCAAACACCCACAAGTCGGTGGCTGGACCGTAGTCCGCACCACACTGGATGGAACCAATCAACCCTAGCCCAGCCAAAGAGACCGTGCACCCCGTCTTCCCCCAGCAACGATTCAGTCTCCTGAAGCCAGTAACCGAGGTAGAGGGTGTTAGACAGGTAAGTACCTTGCAACATGCACATCAAGCGCAGCCACACTGGGGATGTCAAACAACAGCCAATCACTTGAAATGACAATAGCAAATAATAGTTATCGAATAAAGTATACGGATAAACCGACTTACCTCTTCGCCAATTGAGCATATGAAATAAAATGGTGATCAACAAATCCGCGATAAGTTCAAGGTGTCAAAAAGTTATCTTTAAGATATGCTACAAACGCGGAGAAATTAACGAATTCAAAAACAATCTGCCTAGGCGTCATGTGTAATTATAAAGAAGCTTATTCAGACAGACGTCTGAATGATTTAACAAAGCATGAACAAAATAAAGCAAAGCAATCAAATAAAATAGAGAAACACAGTATGCAAGTACGCCGTTAGTGAATCGAATGCAGCGTACCTACCAACGCTGCGCAGGTTCTGCTTGCGTTCTCAGCAAGACCCTTCGTCGTAGACGCTAAAATGAGGTGAAAAAATAATCAATATGATCATATAGGAAAACCATCTGCAGAAATAAAGAAACTCAGCACGCGGTTATTAAATCGAATACAGTGTACCTACCAAAGCTGCGCCGGTTCTGCCTACGCTCTCAGCAGCACCCGTCGTCGTTTCGATGCTGGTCCGAGTGGCCTCGCTCGTGGATCACTAAGCCTGCCTGACTCAGGCACTTGCGACCGCATATGCAACAGCACCATGCGCTCGACGTCGATGGAGTAAAACTGTCGCTTCCGCACCTAACGTTTCTCCTCCGCATGCACGAGGGCTTCCTCTTGCACAACGGTAAATGCATTCGTGATTAGGTCACGCTATGCACGCCGATCAACCGCCTTCGATTCCCAACACCCGTAACCAACAGTAGAACATGACAGGCACACTTGATCATGTCATGGTAACGTAACGTCAGTTTTCTCACGTGCCGCTTCCATGCATTCAGTTGGCCATACAGCAGCACGGAGTCAGCGGACACAACGCTAGATAAGCGGATAGTTGTTCTCACAGACTAGGTTTCTCGCCCCGAAACGACGGATGTTCAGCAACCCACATCAATACGGTAGCTCCACACGAATCACCGTAAGCACAGAGCGAGCATCAGAAAGCACAAGAACATCATTGCAATGTAAGATGTATATTAGACAGGGCTAGGAGCAAAGACCATCAAGCCTTGCGCTTCCGGGACCCAGGAGACAACTGGCAAAGTCATCCGAGGTCTCTCCACTCAGCTGCACCCTCGCTCGCATACCACTGTGCAGACATTCAATTAAACTTACAAACTTACGCGGGCAACCAAACTTACACAACACCAGCCACAATGCCTCGCGATTCACCGTATCAAATGCTCTGGTGAAATCAATAAACAGCGAGTACAACGGCTGGTGTCGTTCTCTGCACTTCTCCTGCAACTGACGAGCCGCAAACACCATATCGATGGTGCTGCGACCCGAACGGAATCCACATTGCTCTTCCGCCACGTTCGGTTCCACAACCTGACTGACGAGGCGTTGAGCAGGATTCGGGCAATCACCTTGCCCACACAACTCAGCAAGTTGATGCCACGATAATTCGTGCAACATTGCTTGCTCCTTTGCCCTTGTACAGTGGTAGCACAAGGGCATCCTTCAGCTCAGGAGGCAACTCTTCCTCAATCCACTTCGCGTTGCACCAGGTGGTACAACACAATTACCAACGCAGGTCTGCCGTGTTTCATACTTCAGGTGGGATCCTGTCGGCACCAGCGCACTTGCGGTTTCGCAGCTGAGCAAGTGCTTTTTGCGTCTCATCCAGTGTCGTTGGGTCCGCTAGACTCGCCTTCACATCGTGCTGCTT